TTACGAATCGTCTCGCGCGCAGACTTGACGACTTCCAGCCTCCCGAACAAGCCGGTTTCCGAAAGGGCTTTAGCACCATAGACCACATACATACCCTTCGGCAAGTTGTACAGAAGTCCGAAGAGTACAATTTGCCACTATGTCTGGCGTATGTGGACTATGAGAAAGCCTTTGATTCCGTCGAAATTTGGGCGGTGCTGCAGTCCCTTCAGCGGTGCCAAGTTGACTGTCGGTATATCGAAGTGTTGAAGTGCTTGTACAGTAGGGCTACGATGGCTATCCGAGTACAGAACCAGAGTACGAAACCTATCCAATTGCAGAGAGGTGTAAGACAGGGTAACGTCATATCCCCGAAACTCTTCACCGCTGCATTGGAAGACGTTTTCAAGCTTTTGGACTGGAAAGGATACGGTATCAACATCAATGGCGAGTACATCACTCACCTTCGATTTGCCGACGATATAGTCCTTATGGCAGAATCGCTGGAGGACCTAAGCACTATGCTCAATGACCTCAATAGTGTTTCCCAACGGATAGGTCTTAGGATGAACATGGACAAAACTAAGATCATGTTTAATGTCCATGTCACACCTATGCCGATAGTTGTTGGGAACACTAAGCTCGAAGTTGTTGACGAGTATGTTTACCTGGGACAAATAGTCCGACTGGGTAAGTCCAACTTCGACCGAGAGGTCAATCGACGGATTCAACTCGGCTGGGCAGCGTTCGGGAAGCTACGACACATCTTCTCGTCAGACATACCTCAAAACCTTAAAACGAAATTGTACAACCAGTGCGTGTTGCCAGTGATGACTTACGGAACTGAGACGTGGTCCTTCACTGCTGGCCGTATGAGGAAGCTCAAGGTCGCTCAGCGAGCTATGGAGAGGGCTATGCTCGGAGTTTCTCTGCGTGATAAACTTAGGAATGAGGATATCCGCAGTAGAACCAGAGTGACCGACATAGCCCAACGGATTAGTAAGCTGAAGTGGCAGTGGGCCGGCCATATAGCTCGAAGAACCGACAACCGATGGGGAAGAAAGGTTCTCGAGTGGCAGCCTCGTACCGGTAGGCGAAGTGTAGGGCGTCCCCCCACGAGATGGAGTGACGACCTGGTAAGACATGCAGGAAGTCGATGGATGCAGGTGGCTCAGGACCGTGTTTTGTGGCATTCTTTGGGGGAGGCCTATGTTCAGCAGTGGACTTGTGAAGGGCTGTAATGATGATGATGACTAGAGGCCAAGTAGTCTAACCATGCTTTCTTCTTCTTCTTTACAGCTTCTTTCACTTCATCATTCCACCATGCATCTCTTCTTTTACTACTGCCTCTTTTTATTGTTCCACACACTTCTTCCGCTGCACTTACCATTCCATCCCTAAGGTTCTGCCATGTTCTTTCTACACATTCGTTTCTGCCATCGATGGTGTCAAGCTTTTCGGCTACCCTCGCATGATATTTGTCCCTAGTATCCGCTTCCTGAAGCTTCCAGCTTCGGATGCGACAGACCGACTGTGGTTCTCTCACTGTCGTCCGGTAGCGCCAACCCGCGAACAGACCCCTAAATCTAGTAATCACTAGATAGTGATCCGTTCTTAGGTCAGCACCCCTGAACACTCGCGTATCCATAACCTGTTTTCGCAGTCGGTCATCCACCAGGAACAAATCGATCATACTTCTCTCATTCTTTCTTTCTCTAGTATACATATGGATTTTCTTGTGATTAAACATAGTGTTTGTCACAAGAAGACCCTTTTCCTTGCATACCGCCAGTATAAGCTTGCCAGCATCGTTAACCCTTTTATCGCCAAACTTTCCAAGTACCGACTCGTACCCTGGTCGAGCGGTACCAACCCATCCATTCAAATCACTACATACAACAATTCTTTCGTTTCCCCTAGCCAAATCTAGAACTTCTCTTACATTCTCCCAAAACTCCTCCAGCTCAGCCCTGGACGACGAAGCTACCGGCGCATAAACAGCCAAAAGGAATAACTTCGTCAGTCCCAATTTAAAGCGAACCCAGAGAAGTCTTGAGTTCACAAACTTATATTCAGTCATAACATCGACCAACCGAGAAGACAGCAGCACCCTCACTCCCTGGCAGGCGTTCTCGCTCTCCGGGACTCCTGACCATAGAGCTAACGCCCCGCCAGGGAGCTCTTCAGTACCACTGCCCTTCCGTTTGGTCTCCGACATACACACGACATCTAATTCTCTTTCTTTCATTATTTCGATCAACTCATTCGTCTTATCTCTCATGCCTCCTCTAACATTCCACGTGCCAACTCTGCACTCTGTCCTCCACCTTCCGCCGTGTCGGGCTGTGCGTGACGGGTGGCGGTCCCCATCGCCGCTTTGCGCGCTGCATTCCACACCAACGGGGACGAGCTGGTGTGCGTCGCCTTGGGGGGACGCCCTAACCCTCGTTGTCATGGGTGCGCAGCTGAGTAGAATTGCAGCCCTGAAAAGGGCTGGCAGGGGTCGCGACGAGCACGCTTCTACAATGACCCCAATGAATTTAGTTTTAATGGGGCAATTATGCTGTTTTTATATCATTCATATTTTCGGAGATGTTAAGTTTTTGTTTTCACACTACCGTAAATATTAACTGTAGCAAAGATTCGAAAGAATAGAACTCTTCACCGTTATCATTACAACCTATCAAAAGTCCACTGAAATGAACATAGGTCTCCCCCATAACTTGTCAAATAGGCTGGATATTTGCTTTAGTTGCCACGCTTGGCAGGCAGGTTGGCAACCGCAGCCTTTATTATTTTGAAATGTTGTCAGGAACATGATGTTCCCCATCTCCTGTTTGTTTTCCTCTATCGCCTCTTAGGACACACACGGAACAATAAGAGGTGGCGGATTCTCTTTCGCCGCCACAACAAGTCGAATATTTTTCTGCTTTCGATCATGAGTGTAGTTCTACCCACGTTCACTGCGAATAGAACTTCATTTGCAATAAAAGTAATCATAAGGATTTTATCGTGTTTAATTTTAACTTTTATAATTGATGACGTTTCGGGCACTATACAGAACCCATGGAGAGGGGGCCGGGGGTTCATTTGTTGTCTATCAGATCTGATATAATGGTTGGGACGATACTCAACATGTTGACATACTTTCAGACTTCTCGGAGCGTCGGTGCTTCACATCAGCAATACGTTGTTTTAGGCAAATTTTTATGGAACTTTCTTCCAAAGGTGTGTTTTGTACAACCCGCTTAAATAGAAGTTAAAATGTAACGTGATTTATTACAATTTGTTTTATCATACGTGTAGTATTCATCATTATCAGAACTGCATTTATGAAATTTTTAAGTCTACTCGAACGTAGAAAAAAAATCAGAATCTAATTTATGGTGGCAATCAATATTAAATGGAAACAACGATATGAATCAAATATCGCATAAAAGACCATGAACTCATCATTATTTTGATAAAAATAAATTATGAATGAATGTAAAGAGTAAATAATAATAATAAATTTGGATTCCAAAACTATTTATCTTACTTATGGATAGATAAATCGGAAGACAGGTTTAATACAAAAAAAAATTGTAGATATTTCTAGACATATGATATTAATGCAATTCTGAAAAACTTATTTCTGCACGTGTCCCTCAATCATCTAGGTCCAATAGTCTTTGGGAATTCAAAAAATTCTTTGAAAAACTGACATAGTAACACAGACACCGACTTGACTCTAAAAGTGATCGAAATTTACTAAATTTGGCGTGGAATACATTTAATGATGTTTGTAAAAAAGAAGACCACGCGAGCGAAGCCGCGGGTAATAAAGCTAGTTTGTAATATTTGTTTGCATTTTGTACATTTGTTTTAAAACTTTCCTGTCAGTCCTAAACCTAGTTAAGTATATGAAGGTAAATCGCCAACTTAAATTATCATTATAAAAAATAATGATTATTAATATAATAATAATAAATAAAATATGTACCTATAATAATTTTATATATATATATATATGTGTCGGAGAATTACAACAGAGGATTCCAATTTTGATCTTTGAAATACATCAGGACAGCGTTAACTGTTAAAAATAATAAAAGTGTGAGAGCGGATGTTTAACTTGCTCTCGTGCTTACGCAATTAATCATTATCGGTAATAAGACAACGTAACGCACTATACATTCAGTATAGTGAAATTACAGTTCGACCACACCGTAACACGTCTCTGCTACAATCACACACCAGTGTAACGTGAGGTACGTAATTACATGATAACACCAAAATATGTAAACCAACAGCAACGCTACTTATCTCAATTTAACACAGGGCAGCCTCTCAGCAACACAAATCCTCCTTGCCGGCACTAGAATAATTACAACAACGAACCGAACCACGACACTATCTTAGCACTAGTCGAATCTCTCGCGCACGGCACCTACAGTGAACTTTATACTACAGACACAAGAGGGGGTTTCTCGATATACCCTCCATTCTACCTCGATCCATCCGGGTATTTTATAGACGCTGCGACATATATATATATAAATTATTTACAGTACTAACTTAGGAAGCTTACGGTACGGACGTGTCGACCATAATTTTATAAAAGAAATAATAGTGATTTAAACAAAAGTGAAACCAAGTGCTCCTTACACAGGTGTGTGGCGAACGTCGATTCTGGCCTAGTTCGGCAATGGATGCTATTTTTCATGTTATAAGATAAAATATTCCTGTGTAGTTTATAAATAGACATATTGTTAAATAATATATATGGTAATAAAGATTATTATAATCATAGGAATGATGCAATTTTGAAAGATACTGTTGAGAGGTCAAGAATATCGTCTCGTTTCGTGGGTGCCGTAAGAGGTGTCGGAGGAAAACTGAAACAGGAAATGGGCAGCAGCATCTTCTTAATAATAACTAAAAATTACAGGTTTTTTATAACCAACGATAAAACACAATGACTTTCAATAAGTGTTATCCGTATTGAATAAAAAATATTGTATTCTATTTATTCAAAAAAATTAAATACAAAATATTATTAATATTATAAGATACGATGAGGAGTCGGAGAGGAGGGCGCGGCGGCCGCCTCGTGCCTGACGCCCGCCTGCTGCTGCCGTCGCTGGGAACCACACGCCTCGCACAGCACCACCACTTGAACTCGCCACCACCTCCTCAAGATATACTTTTCGACGAACATTTCGCCTGCAAGACAAATATAAAAATTACATAACATAATTTAGTTCATACATATTTTATGTAATACTAGCTGTTCCCCGCGACTTCGCCTGCGTATTAATTTATGACCATTAGATTTCATGGATTTTAATTTATTTGTGTAGAACCCTAATTATTCCTTATAACACCAGTTATCTGCCAGTGAAAGTCCCGTTAAAATACTCCATAGAGTAGGGAACGTCTCGGCGAAGCGGCGTCGAACGGTTCGTGTATTGTATTTTTATACCTATTATACATTCTAAATTAAATATCCGATTTGAATGAACTACTGGTACATAAATACCCTTAATCATAAAACTATCTATTCAAATAAGAATTAATACTATGAAACAAACCATCCTCGCTACCACGGTTCCTATAAACTATTAAATATAACATAAATGTTTATAATAGAATAATTATATACAAATTAATTTGATAGAATCAAAGATGAAAATAGTAACTAGTTACAACAGTTACTAAACTCCAAAGAGACAGTATAATTCCTTCATGGGGCAACATAGGTATATGCTTTTACAACAAAGTCCCAGAAAATATAAAACCTTATCAATCAGTTTAAATTTTTAGTAAGCTAAATTTGTTTAGTAAAGGTTATGATTGATGATAATCCTTGGGAATGAGGAGATTGCTACCATACTAATTTTATTCTATAAAAAATATTGTAAATTAATTCTATTCACCAAAGTCTCGCTGGGTTTCTAACTCGTTCTTCCCAAGACCATCTCTTTATAAGAGTGAAGAATTTTCATTGAATATAGACAATTTTTAAAAACTGTGATAGCTTCTACTTACACATTCTTTTGAAAAAGCTTTAATACAAACATAATAACAAAATTAACTTACGAAGAAGATGGTGACACTGGTAATGGCGGATTTACTTGTGCTGGCTCAGTGGAAGGTGCGGGTCCTAAAGGGAGACTTGGACACTCCAACTGCTGTCCATTTTCATCAAACATGGCCAGTAGCATAACCTCATTGGAGTTATCGACGTCCCCCTGCATATCCTGCTCCTGAAAAGCAAGTAAGATGAGACATTTTAGATACACATATAACATCTTTTTATGGTCATGAGTTGGATTGACCAGGATACCACTGCTGTCTTTTAATTAGTGAGTGAGAAAAACCAGAGACTTTTCATAGATGTGTTTCATGTTTACGTAATATGATAGGTGTAGATAATTTATAGGCTGTTTTAATACAAATGGTATATAAATACCAACATGTTATATATATATATACAGGACGGTAAACCAACATGACAGGAGAGAGATCAGGCGCAGGGCCAATGGCTGTACATGCTTTTCGAGGTACGGGGGTGAGACAGCGCCAACTTCCTGACTCTGGGCTGCTACTGGGAATTTCTTGACGGAAAAACTCATTAAATAATTTTATTGACCCAACCCAGAATTTGAACACGGGACCTCATAATCAGCAGTCGCGTTATACAACCACTATATGCACTCATATTTATAATCATAATAAAGACCAGAGTATAATAAATAACTTACAAAATTATTATGTGAAAATGTTTCTTCCCCTTCTTCGCTGAGATCGCCCTCGTTGAGTCACAGCATAAGATATCAAATTCCGCCATTTTTCTGAAAATGTATGTAGTACACACATGTGAACATTTTGTGTCTTCATGAAAATCGAAAAGAGTAAGAAGACAAAGTTTACATAGAAAAAGTTTCATATACAAAGTATCTTGGCGTTATGGTGGATCAGCGACTTTCCTGGTACAGACATGTTGAATTAGTATCGAGTAGAATTCGAAAGCTCACTTGGATATTTAAAACTTTAAGACATGTTGCCAGTTTAGATCTTTTGAATCAAATATATGTAGCGCTAGCTCAATCTATTATATATATATAATATATTGTATACCAATTTGAGGCGGTACTTACAAAAGTAAATTTATTGAAATTGAAAGAGCTCAGAGATGTCTACTAAAGGTTATGCATTTTATACTGTACAGGTACTCCACTAGCTTTTTGTATGCATCAAGTGGGCTGATTTCGGGAGGCAGTTGTACATATTACAAATTACACTGTATTGAAAAAACATAAATCTTTGGCTTTTAATCCTATTTACAGTAGTAAAAGAAGAAATTATAGCGTAGCTCCTATTTGGAGAATGAAAACCACCTTTGCGAAACATCAATATAACAAGCAATCAGAACATTTATACAATCAGATTAATAAAATATTGCAAATATATCCATTAAAGACATATGACTGTAAGAAAAAAATAATGCAGTGGCTTAAGACAATTACGATCAAACTGAAGCTTTATTACAATTTTTTTTATTTTTTTTTTAAAAACGTTACCCCCACACTAGGATTTTCTCCTGTATCGTGGAGGCAGTTTACAAACACAAATTGCACAAGGACAAACATCCAGACCCGGAACAATTATTTGTAGGCCATACAAATACTTGTTCCGTGCGGGATTCGAACCCGCGCCCCCCAGCACAACAACTCATTGCTAAGCCACTGCGCCACGGAGCCGTATTATAATTTATCTTATAAGCTTATAACACATTCACACACTGTCTTTTTTCATACATACACACACACGCGCGCGCGCGTACACATGCACACACCCTGTTTCTTTTTTTGTTGAAAGTATTTAGTTAAGGGAGGGCGAGGACGTTCTACCACAAGTTTCTTTATACTTAAAAGAAGTCCTCAAACTTATACTAATAGAATATGTTGGAAACAATAAACTTTCATTTCATTTCAAAGTTTATTAAATTTATATATATGAATTATGAAATACTAAATTCTACACTCAAATATCTAACTACTATATAGAAAAAAACACTCGAAATTTCATAAAGAAAAGAAATATATAACATAAAATTATATCGACATCGTAATAATAAACACTCAGTAGGAGCCTCTAATAAATCGAAATAAAATCAATCATAGGTATATATTTATTTGTTGTTATGTATTGTTTACGCCATTTTTGTTGAAAATAATTTTGCCATAATTTTCACGATATATCGAAATTATAATATAAAACGTCATTTTTTCACATTGGACTGTATAAAATATGAGTTTCTGTGTTTTTTTTCCTCATGATTTATGATGATTATTTACACTTTATATTTCATTTTCAGTTAATTCTGAGGATTTATTTCATACGTGAACGACGGTATTTGAAATGCTAATTTTATAAATTGAATAAAAATTGTTAAAATACGAAATATAAGCAAAACTTTTTAAAAAACAATGTAATTACTTACCCTTTGTATAAAAAAACTCGACCAACTTTTCTATATATGTAAAAACTTTCAAATTTTAAAAATAATACAGTAGGGCAAGAGTCACGGACACGACACAGGGATATACCGTAAAACGGGGTGAATAGGCACGAAATCGAACTTCACACTAAAAAATTTCAATGTTATTGTACAGATCTGACATGTATGGCTGCTTCTTATTTTCTCCGCCTGCGTATATTTTCCGAAAATGCCAAATAAACACTAAAAATGTTGTTATACACTAAAATATTATCTATACAAATAAATAAAATTGAAGTGTCTGTTTGTAATGTCAAAATTACAGTTTTTTACTAAATGCATATGAAAGTAAATACGACACCTATAACTAAAATACAATTTTTAAAATTTTTGTCTGTCTGTCTGTCTGTTTGTTCCGGGTAATCTCCGAAACGGCTGGACCGATTTTGACGGGACTTTCACTGGCAGATAGCTGATTTCATAAGGAGTAACAAAGGCTACTTTTATTTTAGAAAAAGAATCAGGGTTCCGCGCAGAAACATAAAAACCCTAACACGCGAACGAAGTCGCGGGGAACAGCTAGTACGAAATATATGCAATTCCTATTCATACTCGAACCGGGGTGTACTGGAACGACAATGGGTTTAATAGGGAAAAAAGCACAGGGTTGTCAAAGATTTAAAATGAGATTGGGTGAAGGTTTATGCAACTTAGACCTAAATAATAAATTTTATGTCAGTAGTATATATATTTGGAAGAGGATAGGTAAATAAAAATGTATAGAGTAGAGAAAGGAATATATTTATTTAAAATTAACCAACACTTATTGTCAATAAGTAAAAAGTAAAAACTTAAACAATTAAATTTCTTCAGAAACAAACAAATCCTCTAACAAACAAAATAATTTATCAACTTAACAATCGTCATAATTTATAATGTTAGATAAAGGTACTCCTGCTATACATTTCTCAAGATGAGTAAAATATTCTTCTACAACTTCGCGTGAAATTGCCGCGCGTGATCGTTTAATGTTCTGACTTATTCTTAGTGAAATTTTGTCTTGGTTTCTTTTTAGGAAACTTTTTACATAGTCAGGACCTGGTAGATTATCTTTAAACTTTTTTACATTCACACCTATCCTATCTAAGTATCCTTTAACCAAAATCCGCAAATCGTAGGTATCTAATGGATATCCCCACTCAGAACAATAATTTATATTTTCTATAATATAAGCCTCTTCCTCGTCAGTTAATACCGTTTGACCACCTTGTTTCTTCATGAATCTTGTGTTGTGTCTGTGTAAAACAGATTTAGAAATATTATATTTTGCACTAATATCTGCTAACGAACTATTTGATGTTTTGTATTCTCTAAGTGCAATATTTATCGTCTCTTCATCGTATTTTTTATATTGTCTAGCCCGCGGTTTGTATGTGCGAGGCATAGTTATCTGAAACGAAGTATAATGAAAATTAGTTGCTTATAGTAGGTGAAATGGAACTTATAGGTATTATTTGACCTACTGTAAGTAACTAATTTTTAAACAATTTAAATCTATCTATACTAATATTATAAATGGTGAACTACTGACTGATTGACTTATCAACGCAGAGCTGGAACTACTGAAGCTTGAAACATTTTTCAAAATGAGTCCCCCAAATGTGTAAAATACGGAATAAAAGTTTGTATGAGGCCTTTTTTCTGTAGTCAATTAAATCCGAGCAAAGCCGACCCGAATCGCTAGTACAAATATTGTATACATTTATAAAGCGACAACCCTGTCCCTATTCAAACTTTACTGTTTCAAGTAAACTCATAAACATCCCTATTTACTTGTACTGAAGTTCCTATTAAGACTCAAAGCGTTCCTATTCGCCCTTCTGCTGTTTCTTTTAACCTCGTAACAAAACCAAAATAACAATATTTTAGATATTTCAACAATTAGCAAAAAATACATTATATTAAGACTTACCTTCTTGTGTGGATCTCCAAGGATAAATGATTTTCAATTTAAAAACACTTTTGCTACGTTAACACAACAAGTTTTCAAATTATGACCCAAGTTTTGAGAGCATATAAAAACACAAGTGCAACCGTTCGTTTTCGTGTGAAAATTATGACCATTTCTTGCAAACTTCCCTATGGATAGGTGTTGCCACGAAAAAGATCATATATTCTACTACATGACAAAATAATTTCTACCAATTCATAAGTTTTTTATTTTGTTAAAATTGCGTCCCAATCTCATTCCCGATTTTGTCTCTATTCACCTCGCGATCCCTATTCACCCCGTTTTACGGTACTGTAGTAAATACGACGCATCATCAGTGTTGCCGTTTAGTAAATGAAAAAAATGCTAGACTTTGGCGGTGATAATGCTAAAAAAGTGCTAAATCACACGTGAATACGCTTAAAAAAATGCCAGCTGCTAAGTCTTGTTTAAATGAATAAGAAATGATAATAAATTGCAAGTAGGTAGTGTAACTAAAATGCAGTGCTATTTTTAAGTAAATTTAATCATCAAGATAAATCAAATAATATTTGTAGATCATCAATATCAGCTTCGTCGTGTGCTTATGCTTGTGATGTTGAAGGGCCATCTTCAAAAGCAATAGTCATTGGCATTACAAGCGACTCTTTAATCCCTCCAATCTCTTTTAAAACATGTTCGGGAACTTATAAGAATGACAACATTTAACTGATCTTTTAAGGCCGTGTCTGATTTGTAGTATCGAGTTCAGTGTATGTAGTGATATATGATTTCTTAATTTTGCTTTTATGAAAAATGCTAAAATATGCAATATGCTACAGCCAATTTTTTCATGCTAACAGGTTTAAAAATATGCCAAATTTAGCATTAAAAATGCCACATCGGCAACACTGCGCATCATGGCGGAAACTCGTCATTTGAACTAAATACTCTTATTTTATAGAAGCGTAATTTAGTAACGAGACTAGTTCTAATATTTTTTTTAGAAAATTAGATATATAGTTCTTATAAATAACATTTAAAAAACAATTGTTTTGAGAGATCTACAAAATGACATTTTGAGAATCCAAATGGATTCGCCGAGCTTTGAAAGGAATATATTATCACTTGCTTGATATAAAATATATATCAGGCAAGTTATAATAATGAAGAGCGAATATAGAATGCGATAGATCGTGGATAGGCTAAGGTGCAGCGTTAAATATAAGTGACAAATACAACCAGAACTTGAAAAACATCAATTAGCCTGGTATCCTGGGTCGCACTAAAATCAGTATTATCATTTAAGTAATATATACTACGTACTAGAAGAGAGGCCGAGACTCGGTTGTTTGTAATACGTGTTAGAGCCCGCGGG